TTTTTTAGGAACATGAAGGAAAGTATTAGCAAAAACAGATAAAACAACAATTTAAAATTGTTCTCTCTAGGGAAGTAATCATCACAAAGGGTGGAGGAGCTGGCACATAAATATTATTGCATTTGCAAAAGATTTTGGCACTATTAGGCTTTCCAAATCAAGCCTAATATTTTTCTGATTAAAAAAAAATTATAAAAAATACCAAAACCTACCTTCATTGGTGTTCTCCATCTGCTTAGTAGACTCTGGTAAGCTTGGCTGCATGGTTTGGCATGGTTTGTGGAGCCAGAAGCTATCTGAGAGATAGAAGATGGCAGGTGTCTGCACCATCAGAAAGCAGATATGATGGAGTCAGAAGACTTGGATTCCAATGTTGGGTCTGCCACTCTGAGTTCTATGGCCTTAGAGAAGGTGTTTGACCACTCTGAGCCTCCCGGCCTCCCTGTCCCATAAGTACAGGTATCTAGATCCCATATAACCAAGGGTTAGGGTTAAATTATGTAGATCTCAACCCAGGAATGCAAACTAAGCTCATAGTGAAGATGCAAGAAGTGGGGACTTGTATAGCCTAGGCCATGTAAGAGGGCACTATGGACAGAGCCCCAGGTTCCCCAATCAAAAACCAGACCCTGAGAGGAAACCCAAGTCTCTAAAGTTTGGCTGAAATCTCACCTTCTCCACACTGTTCCCAAGTTCCCTAGTACCATAATTTTAGGATTCTACGAATTCAAGAGAGGTTAAGTGTGCCAGGTGTTGGTCTGTGTCCCTCTGTGCTGTGTGAGCTTCATCCCAACCCATAAGTCCATCTGACCCTGGCAAGGAGTCCCCTTGAGCAATTTCCTTCCTCAATTCTGCTGGAAAAAAATCCAAATTACTTGGCCTTGAAATAAAATTTGGGAAAACCTGGGACTGGAGAGGGAAATCTCCAAGTCAAGACCTGGTCATCGCTATGTTAAGCTTTGTCACAGATCTAACCACAGCTGTCATTTCAGAATAAGCAGGCTTGGAATTCCCAGAAAGAAGCACAGCTTGGGGCAATATGTTCCAGGTTCTAAGCATCTAGAAGAGCCCACAGCTTCTGTTCATAGCCCAGGGACGAGTTCCCACCTGCCTGATTGCCCAGGGCTCTTGTTTTTCCTCCTGCCCCTGGAATCAAAACCTGCATTGGTTTGGGGATGGGAAGAGGTTTGGAAGGTCCATGAACACAGATCCTGTGACTCCCTCTATATCCATGACTAAAGAGACCAGATCTGCAACCCATCAGATAGCACTATTCTTGCTCATATATCAGGCAGGAAAGAGGTAGAAAGATGCCTGTGAAGCAACCCTGGGCAGAGAGGACTCAAAACAAAGCAACAGACCAGGCCTATGGAACCCCCACCAGTCCTAAGAAATCTCAGGTAGTGTAGTGCAAAATCTCCCCAAAGATCCCAAGGAATACAGACTGTTCTCTGCATGGACAACCCATGAGGGTGAACACATGATCTACAGGTACAGTCCCCCCAAAATAAAATTTATTCTTTGACACTTCAGACTTGACAAGGATTGATCATTATGTCAATTCATACAATGATTAAAATAATAAACTACATCTGGAGTCAGAGAAAAACCTGAGACCACCTTTGATTCCATGAGTACAAGGTAAGGGACCTGAGCGGGTGGCGGGGGAGATGGTAGAGGAAGCATTAAGAGAGGATAGTTAGTGATTAAATGTCATTTTCCTTGAGTCAGTGATTCTCAATTTATTCAAGTGTCCTGGAATTGGTAATGAAGTTGGTTTTTGTTCTGTTTTTCTTTCTTTCCCCACCCCTATTTTGGGGAATTTGGTTTTTGTCCAAGGAATAATTCTCAATAGTTTGCTTTTAAAAGTATTTGTGCAATTTCTAAATAAAAATTTTTCAGAATCAGGCTGACACTGCCAAATCCATCTGGTTAGGGTTTTCTGCATCACCTCCAGAAAGCAAGCTGCTCCTCTGAGAGACTGGCCTAGAAACCGGCCTATACAACCTGTGCCCCAGAGCATCCACCTCCTCAAAGATGTAACCAGGGGGCTCAGGGTATGCAGCTGGGCACTTGCACATTTCCTTGGGAGTGAAGCTGATGGAATAGGTGGTCTGGCCCTCCAAAGGAATATTTGCTCGAGGGCCAGACCAAGGGGGCTTACAGCTTTTGGTACTGATAGGTGGATGGGGCACATAGTGGGCCCGAAAGGTGGTCAGACAGTCCAAGGGCTCTGTGGGAAAGCCCAGGTGGGGGATGGGCTTGGCCATCTCTGTGCGTTTGCTGTCCCACTGCTTATAGTCGTCCTTGGTGGTAGTAGAGCCTTCGAAACGGAAGCTCTTCTTGATGGGGAGCACCGGTCGGCAGGACTGAGCAGGGGCACCCTTAGGGTATGTGTAATGGGCTTGTACTGTTGTCAGAAGATCCATCTTCTCTTCAGGAGGGACATAAGCAACTGGAGCTTTGGAGAATAACTGGGGCATTGGCCAAGCTTGGTACTTATCTCGAAACTCGGTGGTGTTCAAGAATGGTGTGTCTGTCCCAGGTAGCCTGGCTGGAGGCTTCGAGCTCTTGGCAGGCTCCCCTAGTAGGCCTCGGTAGGACTCTTTGTGTGTGGTGATGCTCTCGAAGGGGATTTCACAGGGTCTAAACTTCTCTGCCTCGTGCACAAAGCGCTTCTCCACAGGGTGTGCCACATAGCTCATCTTGTAGTTGGTCAGGTCCTCCAGGGGGATATTACAAAGGTTGGGCATGGCTGGGGGTTTACAGCTCCTGGTGGTCACGAGGCCCTTCATGGAGTAGTCATCCTGGTGTGTGGTTCTGCTGTCAAATTTGGTGGATTCCAGCCAGTGTTTGTGTTCTGGACGAAGTAGCTCCCGTCTTGGTTGGTTCCAAGGTAAATAATCAGCTGAAATTAAAGCAGAAGAGGTAATTAAAAATAAATCAGGTCCCCCAACTTACATGTAGTCTAAAAGGCCTCAAAATGATAAGCCCATTTCCAATGAGGTGTTTTCTCAGACAAGACAGTCAGAGCTGGAGAAATAGCTCAGTGGTAGAGCACTTGATTAAGCACTTGACTAGCAAGCATGAAGCCCTGGGTTCAGTCCCCAATACTGCAAAAAATAGAAAGTCTTCATAACATCCCTAATAAATGGGCACTAACAAAATATCTATTTTATAGATGCAGAAATTGAGGCACAGAGGAATTAAAGAATTTGTCCCAGTTCACTTAGCTAGAAATTTAAAATCACAGATTCAAATCCAGATCCAGAACCCATGGTCTGACCCACTCCAACCTGATTTAACAAAGAACACTGACTATGAGCCAGTCCAGTGTGCTCCAGCCTTTCCAAATGTGATTTTGTTTCGTCTTCACAATAACCCTTTATACTGAGTATGATTGTCTCCACTTTGCAGATTTCCAAAAGCAAAGCTCAGAGAAGCTGAGAAACTTGCCAAAAAGTCACATGGCTAATGAGTTAAAAATTGGAATTTTAAAAATCGTCAAACCTCTCTGGCATTAAGGAAATGCAAATCAAAAATATACTGAGAGTTAGGTCATCTCACTCCACTAAGAATATATAACAATAAATGCTGGTGAAGGTTCGGGGAGAAGGGAACTCTCATGCACTGTTGCTGGGAATGTAAATCAGTACAGCCATTATGGAATTATAAGTATGGAGGTTCCTCAAAAGACTTGGAATGGGGCGCTGGGGTTGTGGCTCAGGGGTAGAGCACTTGCTTAGCATGTGTGAGGAACTGGATTCGATTCTCAGCACCGCATTGAAATAAATAAAGGTCCATTCACAATCAAAAAATTTTTTTAAAAGACCAGGAATGGAACCACCATGTGATCCAGCCCTACCACTCCTTGGTATCTGTCCAAAAGGATTACGATTAGCATACTACAAAGATACACACATGCCGATGTTTGTAGCAGCACAATTCACAATAGCCAAGCCTTGAAATCAATTTAGGTGTTCAACAAAAGGTAAATGGATGAAGAAAATATGAGATATGTACACATGGAGATTTATTCAGCCATAAAGAATGAAATTGTGTCATTTGCAGAAAAATGGATACAAATGGGAGCGTCATGGTAAGCAAAATAAGCCAAACTCATAAAATCAAAGGTCATATGATTTCTTTCATATGTGGTAGCTAGAGCCAGGAAAAGGAGAGAAAGGAGGAATTCTCATGTAAATAGCAGAGAGATCAGTAAAGTAGAAGAGGAGAACCAGGAGAGGGAGAGGAGAGGAGGGAAAGGGAAGGTACTGGGGAATGAAATTGATCAAATTATTACTATATGCATATACAAATATGTCACAATGACAGTCACTATTCTGTACAATTATTACACAACAAAAACCAAAAAAAAAAAAACAGAATTTAAGCCATACACTTGACTCCAAACTCATGCTCTTCTGACAGCCTACATCAAGTTAAGGGCACCATATTTCTAGGTAAAGATTAAGAAACTAATAATCAGGGAAGGTTTGCAGGAGAACTTCAAAATGTTTTTTTTTTTTTGCTTGTTTGTTTGTTTGTTTGTTTGTTTTTAATGAGAAAGATTAGCCAGCTGAACTGGGAGACATCCATCTCAAGAAAAACCTCTGTTGTGGGGCTGTAATGGCCAAAATGAAGGAGGTCTGGACCCAAAGAAAATCCAGTGAGAAATGGCCACACAATCTTGAGAAGCAGACACTGTCCTCGGGCATCTCTGCAGGGGATTCTAAATTGACTTTATCACATAGACCTTCAGGGCTGCTCCAGGACTAAAAGTCCAGGTGAGAAAAATCCAACAGTAAGCACTCAATTCAACCACCTCCACTCCTGCTGCCTTTCTTTTCATAATATTTGGCTCACAGCCATAGCCTGCATTGCCCCATTTTGCTCATAAATTACCAGGCCTGAGGTAGCCCTTGTGAACCTGGTGAGCCCTCTGAATCCACAGGGAATCCTCTTACAGCTTTACAAAGGTTTAGAACAAATGCAGCTACCCAGGCGCATTGGATGTATACAGTTAATGTTAGTGAAGTCCACAGGTATATTTTCAACAACTTTATTGAGAATAATTTGCATAACATAAAATATACCATCTAAGAAACCTTTCCCTAACCCAAGATATTAGAAATTTTCTGTTTTAACTGTTACATGTAGGTCTTTGGTCCTTCTGTTTCCTCCCCATCCCCCAGTAGTGGGGATGGACCCCTGGGCATGGTGTATGCTAGACAAGTACAGCACCACTAAGCAAAATCCTAGCCCTTGACCCTTTAATTTTTGAGTATGGCATGATATAAAGGTCTAAAGTTTATCTTTTTGCATGTGGATCTCTGACTGTCTCATCATTTTTATCAAAAAAGACTATCCTCTTCCATACTGAAATGCCCAGTCATCGTTGAGAAAAAATGACAATAAATCTGAGGGTTTATTTGTGTATTCTCAACCCAATCATATTGTCATTTACACCTGTCTTTATGTCAGTATCACATTGTCTTAATTACTGCAGCTTTATAGTAAAGCTTTAAAATTGGGAAGAATAAGTTCTTCAACTTCATTTTATTTTCCAAAAGCATTTATTTAAATTTTATATATAAAGTATAGAATTACCTTGCCAATTTCTTTTTTATAAAAAGAGGCTCCTGGTATTTTGATAGGGATTGCTTTGAATCTATAGATTGATTTTGAAGAAACTCCATTTGAACAATATTGAATCCTCCCATTCCATGAACACAGAATATCTCACCCCTTACTTAGATTTTATTTTTCTCTGCACTCTGGTAATTTTCATAGTACAAATCTTGCACTGATTTTTTTTTACTTATCTTTTTTCACATTTTATTTGTTCTAATTTGTTATACATGACAGTACAATACATGTTGACACATAATACATACATGGAGTATAACTTCTCATTCTTCTGGTTGTACATGATGTAGAATCACATTGGTCACATAATCATACATGTACATAGGGTAATAACGTCTAATTCATTCTACAAAACATCCTACCTCCACACCCCCACTTCACTCTCCTCTGCCTGATCCAAAGTACTTGTATTCTTCCCTAGCCATCCCCTTTATTATGAATTAATATACACATATCAGAGAAAACAATCAGCCTTTGGTTTTCTGGGATTAATTTATTTCACTTAGCATGATATTCTCCAGCTCCAACCATTTACCTACATATGCCATAATTTCACTTTTCTCTAAGGCTGAGTAATATTCCATTATGTATATATACCACATTTTCTTTATCCATTCATCTGTTGAAGGGCATCTAGGTTGGTTCCATAGTTTAGCTACTGTGAATCAAGTTGCTATGAACATTGATGTGACTGTGTCACTGTAGTATGCTGATTTTAAGTCCTTTGGATATAAACTGAGGAGTGCAATAGCTGGTCAATAAATAAACAGGCTAAGTAACTGAACAGACACTTCACAGTAGAAATACAAATGGTAAAAAAAAAAAAAGTGAAAAAGTGTTCAACATCCTAGCAATTAGAAATGCAAATTAAAATTATACTGAGATTTCGTCTCACTCCAGTTAGAATAGTAACAATCAAGAATACAAGTAACAGGGCTGGGATTGTGGCTCAGGGGTAGAGTGCTTGTCTAGCATATGGGAGGCACTGAGTTCAATCCTCAACACCACATAAAAATAAACAAATGTCCAACTACAACTAAAATATACAAGTAATAATAAATGTTGGCAAGGATATGGGGAAAGGGTATACTCATACATGGTTGGTGGGACTGCAAATTGGTGCAGCCATCCTGGAAAGTAGTATAGAGATTCATTAGAAAATTTGGAATGGAACCACCATTTGATCTAGTCATCCTATTTCTTGGTATATACCCAAAAGACCTAAAATCAACATACTACCTTATAAAGCCACATTAATGTTTATAACAGTTCAATTCACAATAGCTAAGCTATGGAATCAACGTAGGTACCCTTCAACAGATGAATGAACAAAGAAACTGTTCCATATATATATAATGGAATATTACTCAGCCATAGAAAAAAGAATAACTTAATGACATTTGCCAGAAAATGGATGAATCTGGAGACTATCATGCTAAGCGAATCCCAAAAAAACCAAAGGTCAAATGTTCTCTTAATATGTGAATGCAAACACACAAAAATGGGTGAGAGGAGAGGAATGGAGGTCCATGGGTTGGGTGAGGTGGGGAGAATGGGAGGAGAAGTAGGGGAACAGGAATGGGGGGCGGGGGACAATGGAATTAATTTGACTTAACACTCCTATGTACATAAATACATCACAGTGAATCTCCATATCATGTACAACCACAAGACTGGGATCCTAATTAGAATAAGACATACTCTATGTTTGCATAAATATGTCAAAATATACTCTGTCAACCAAAAAGAATTAAAAAAATAAAAAGAATATCTTGTTAATGCTCTTTATCAGGCTAAGGAAGTTCTCTTCTATTCCTAGCTTTTTGAGAGCTTTTATGGATATGAGACCTTGCCAAATGTTTTCTATCAACCATCTGGCTTTTGTCTGTTACTTTATTAATATGATATATTACATTGATTGATTATCTGATGTTATATCAATCTTGAATTCCTAAAATAAACCCCACAGCTTTAGTTTGCTCTATAATTGCTTTTTTAAATTAAAAGTAAACATTTACCTAGTTACATTTCCAAGCAACTTTCTTTGTGTAGATTTATTTTACTATCTGTATCATTTCCTTTCAACCCGAGGATTTCCCTCAGTATCTCTCATAAGGGAAATCAGCTTTCTTTTTTCTGAAGGTATCTTTGTTTTGCCTCATTTTTGAAACATAGTATACATTGGATATAAAATTCATGACCTATCTTCTTTTAGTACTTCAAATAAGTCAACCAACTCTGTTCAGTCTTCCATTTTCT